AACATTCCAGGTCAGGTTGGACGGGGCTCTGAGCAACCTGATCTAGTTGAAGATGTCCCTGCCCACGGCAGGGGGGTTGGACTAGATGACCTTTAGAGGTCCCTTCCAACCCAAACTATTCTATGATTCTATGATCTCTCTTCTGTAATGAGGTTTTTTAATTAATGCTGTTAATTTGAAAATGGAGAATTCTTTTCTAAAGAAATGAATATAAATGTCACCTGAGAAAAATCTAACCATGAGGTTAGGTTACACAAATATTTATAGTAAAAAATAGTTGTGAAAAAAATGATCTAGAGAAATGTACTATTGTAGTACAAATACAAAAGAAATAACGCCCCCCCCAGGCTTAATTAATTAATTAAAGGAAATTCAAATTCACAAAATCAATGTGAATGAATTACAGGCATCCATTATTAAACAGGGAAGCCTTTAGTCTAAATAGAGCTTATATTGGGACAAAGAGGTGATGGAGGTGGAGGTGAGAGAGCATTTTGGAAGTGTTCAAGCTGCTGAATTTTATTTTTATTTCCTCAGCATGTTACGGGATCTCTTCCATAAGATGATGGAATAGATGACGCTCCATCCTCCTGCTTCTACACTTGACAGGGTAAGGAAAGAACTGCTATGAGGCAATATAAATTCTTAGCCATATGGACTGTTTTTAAAATTATCACTGCCTGAATTATCAATAGCAGAAAGAGTAATCTACTCTTTAAAAACAGGAAAAGAATGTGAAAAGGTGTTAACCTTCAGTTATCTGGTGAATTGTACTAGACAGCAACTTTATATTAGTTTAGTAATCAAAATTCTCAGAAAAATAAACTAATTGAAATGTTTCTTCTGCTAGATCTTGACAAGATTTGGAATAATGGTGTCTCACTCAAATCACATTTCTGCTAACATTATGAGACAATAAACTATTTTCTGAATCTAGTCTACATTCATTCTCACCTTAATTTCCCATTTGTCTATTCAGATATGTAATTTTCTGACAGTTGAAAATAATTCAGTGCTGACTTGTGTTCATTTATTTATAAAAGGGTAAGAACCATAGTTATTTATAAAAGGGGAAGGTTAAAACCTTCTGCTAAAAACTGCATAATATGGAAAGGAGCATGTTCAGTCCAAATTCAGCCTGGTGCTTAGCCGTATGTTGTTTAACTTGAAGCTTGTCGCTGCCATTGATGTCCAGATGACCACTCGTGCAATTGTTTAAGTGTACTGGCAGATCAGAGGTAGAATGCTTACCCCTTTGCAGTAAAAAAGCCTAGTTATTAAAATGATTGAACCAGTTAAACTCCAACAACCATACACATATTTATGACTTCGTATGTATGTTTACATACCAGATAAAACAATAATGTAGTACTCAGTTAACAGACAAACTTAGCAGTGACATTGCATCCATCAGGCTAAGTACTGAGGTCTGAGCTTCTAAGTAAAATGCAAATGACAAAATAGAAGAACAACTCTGAAGCACTTTTACAACAGTTTAATCAGTCTTACTGAGATATGCAAAGGAGGCAGCATGGGGCTGCCTGAATTCCCGTATCCCCATAATCCCACCCATTTGTCACCTCACAGAGTTCCTGACTATCTCAAAAAGAGTCTGAATTAAAACACTTCTTTAACACGTTATTCACACATATCTCATGTATTTGTTAGACAAATTCCTATAAAATAAACAAGAACCATAATCGGGACTGAGACATTCTGTATGATAATTTCCTGAAGATGTTTTTGTAATACTCTTTAAATTAAACACTGCAAGGCGATAATTTCCTGAAGATGTTTTCGTAATACTCTTTAAATTAAACACTGCAAGGAAACAATGAAATAATGGTTTCAGACACCTTTTTTACTTCCAGTGGCATCACTGACCGCTTCACCCTCACACTGCCATGTACATACCCTAGGAAAGTTTATCCAACCAGGTACATGGCCTATCAGGTCTGTAGTGACCCCACCTGCAAAAGCTGCTGATTTATGCGACACACATCCTGTATGGTAGGGAGCATAAGGTATGAAGGAGTCCACCCATACAATCCAGATTTCATTTGGAAGATGGCGTCAAGGGGAGGAAGCCCCCAGAATTTCTGTACGGTCGTGTTATATGAAATTTTAAAATAAGACACACTTAAATATAAAAAATAAAGAAATAAATAGATATGTGTGTGCCTGGTGTGCATCATTCATATACTATGTAAACTAAACAGAAAGAACTTCATGGGCATTCAGGGTGTACTGAGCTCCAGAAGTTCTTGCAGCTGTTGAAATTCCTATGTAAGTCAAAGGAGCTTTCCTTGGAAACCTTTTATTTAACGGAGCCTAAGAGAAAATGAGGCTTAATTTTGCTTTCTATGGCAGAATATAAACACAGGCCTATCAAGGTATTTAGCATCTGCCTAACCTGAGTTATGGGAAGAGTTCTGTCCAAAGCCAGTAGGGCTATTCACATGCTCAAACTCAGACACCTGCTTAAGTGCCTTGCTGGACCAGGGCCAGAAACATAATAGTGGGCCAGCTTAAGCTGATTAGAAACGTTCTGTTGGCTCCAGTGGCAGCAGGATCTAGCCTTTATTGCCACTTTGCAAAATACGGTGCTCAACAGGGGAAAAAAAATCAGGCACTCTGTAGTTCTCTCAGTGGTCTATTGGGTAAAGCTTGAGTACAAAACAAATGTAGCTTATTTAGCTCTAACTGGAAATGGGTATGACTGAGAATGCACCCATTTTTCCACATGAAAATAAAATTTGTTGCCGTGAAAAAACTCTCGAAATAAAGTGGCTTATTCTAATATGCTGTCTAGATCCAAATTTTCTCTCCAAATACCTACAGTAAGGAAGAATAAGGTTCAAAGAAATGGTGAAGAGAATCCTTAACCTGTGTGAGTTTAAAGAAGGAAGATGCTTTTCATAATGTTTCTTTCATTTTTAATTGAATGCTGTTGTAATTAGTATCTTTAGAAACCTAGGTAGTTCCATTGCTTTTTATTGCTTGTGTATGTAGCTTGTTAACCAGGTATTAATAGGCAAACTGGCGTGGCACAGTCAATCCGTCTCTGGGCAAACCTAATGGTTCCAGGCATCTCTCTTGCTGCAGAAACCTTTCTATTTGTGTGCTGCGAGATCATTAATCAAAGGCTGAAGAGCCCTTTCTTCCCTTGTGACAGAATTCCTAACAGGGCCTTCTGCAGCGATAAGTCTCCGACTGACTACAAATTATCAATACTGATTACCAGATTGCTGCAGTGGGGAGGGGACGGCGTGCTCGGCACTGCAGGGCTGGCCAGACTCCCACAGCCCTTGTCTCCCTCCTCTATCTGCACCTACAACTGTCTCATGCCCTGCTCCCAGGGGTGCCACAGCCAGATTAACACGCTTTCAATCCCCACCGATTATACCTCGGGAGCAGAACATCAGCGTTCAAATAAATAAATGTATAATGCATCGGTTACAGCCAGTGCCAGGATTCGGTATAACTTTGTGCAACATGATTTAAGAGTGGTAACAGAGTCTGCACAGAACGGGAATTTGAATGGGATTTGCTTCTTGGGGGAAGGATAATAATTGCATTGGAGGTCTCCATCCTTATTTTGTGGGATTTCTGTGTGCATGACTTTAATGGTGAATGATTGTGAAAACTTGAATTTGAATGCATCAAACGTAGGTCCTGCCTCATTCCCCCCCCCCCAAAAAAAAAAAAATAGAAAGACCAAGGAGTAATAGGGTCCGCATGCTTTCAGCAGCCTGACCCCACGGTTGTTCTCTCGCTCCCACACCCTCCACTGCGATTTTCCGCTCCCCCACCCACTCCAGCAGCCTCCCTCGAACAAAGGGGCCGGAGCCGGGCTGCTGCCTCTCGCTCCCGCCGCTGGCGCCA